GTTCTAGGTCCTAAAACAAGTCCAAAGAACCCAAGATCTCCAATTTCTACTTTAGTTTTACTCAAAAACCATCAAAATCCAGTTTGAACCAAAAATAAGTTTTGAAATCTAAAAACTTGAGATTCAAGAGAGGTTCTTTCAGTAATCTTACCTTGAATCCTTCTCTTGATGTTGAAAACACTTTGAAACTCGTCTTTGGCTCAAAATCCGTTTGATTTGGGACACAAAACGGGAGTGAGAGAGAAAGATAGTGAGCGGGAGAGTGAGAGTGAAGGAGAGAGAGAGAGAGAGCGCACGGGAAAGGAAAGAGAAAGGAAAGGAAAAAGGAAGGAAAAAGGAAAATAAAGGAAAAAGAAAAGAAAAGGAAAAAGAAAAGAAAATGACATGTGTACAATGTTTTAAAAGAACAGTCCATAAATACGCCCATACACACTTCTGGTTTAAAATAAATTATTAAGAATAATTTAAATACCTTGGAACTATTTAAACTCACTTGTGTCAGAAACATTTATTAATTAAACTCAATTAATAATTCAGATTAGGCACACTAATAATCTCAATTAATTCTTCAGGGTGTTACAGTAGGGTTGACAATTCGGGTAGCGATACGACGATACGATTCGAAATCTGTACGAAATTAGTGGATTTAGATTTATCATAAATAGGTCCGGATCAAAATCAGGTCGAACCCGTGAAACACGATTAAATAACGTGTCATTTTCAGTTGACCTGCCAACTCGTAATTGACCCGTCATAACCCGTTTATTAAACGTGTTATATTTAGGTAACACAAATACACAACCCGTTTATTACCCATTTTATAAATAGGTTCATAAATAGGTTAACACGACCTATTTATCACCTATTTTATAAACAAGTTCAAAAATAGGTTCAGAAATAGGTTAACACGACCCATTTATCACCCATTTTATAAATGGGTTGACAGGTAACCAATGGATTGACACGACACGTTTATGACCTGATAATAAACGGGTTATTCGTGTCGTGTTATGTCAACCCGTCAATATACATGTCGTGTTTGGGTTTTGTATTTTGACACAATTAATAAACGGGTCGTGTTCGTATTAACCCTATTCGTATCAACTGAGCGAGTCAACACGACTCACCAACACGAATTACCACTCATACTCTAGAGTTCCTTACGGTGTTATCAATAGTAATCTTACAATAGTTCATTTATCAGCGTCGTTCTATGTTGTGTTTTCTACACTTTTATTGTTAATTACTACGCATCGTAGTTTTTTTTTTTTTAGAGCATAGTCAAGTTTTAAAGCTAATGCCAATCCAACTCAAATCCAAAATGCCATAAAGCTACAATGGTTTTTTACTACATGTGTGACCACCATGAGGCTTTTTTTTTTTTAGAGCATAGTCAAGTTTTAAAGCTAATGCCAATCCAACTCAAATCCAAAATGCCATAAAGCTACAATGGTTTTTTACTACACGTGTGACCACCATGAGGCTTAAGATGTAGATTTTAAATCCCGCAGCCTTGAAATAAGAATATACTTTTTATTGTTGTTATGCTAAACTAGTTTTTAAGTTTGTACTTCTATTTTTCCTTTTGCCACAAGACTTTTGAAACACAGGGTGCGTTTAAAATTAATTTTAAAATGTTTTTATTTTTATTAAAAAGTAAAAATAAAATTATTTTAAGAATTATTTTGTGATTAATTCTGAAATTACATTTAATTAATTTTTTAAGAAATTATTTTGAGTATAATAAAAAAATAAAATTATATTTATTAATTAATATATTATAATATTATTAATAAGTATTAAAAAATAAAAATTACTTTTTAACTGTTTTTTAATTCCTTCATAAAAATCGTTCTTATTATTTTTATTTTTATTTTTAAAATATTTACTAAACAAACGTCGTTTCATTTTTATTTTTATTTTATATTTTTTGAAATACGTAAAAATCGCTTTAAAAAACGGTTCCAACTTCCGAACGCGCACACAAATTTACATTACATGAACAACGTTTCTCATGTGTCCTGTGATGCCCTTTCAGGAGAGGGACAAACGACAACTTTTTTCACTCACGGTCCCTTTTTGCAGCAAGAGCCAAAGGAAAAACAGCTTAAAGTGGGAGGATAATGAAAGAAAAGAATCAGATGCACCCTAAAATCGAATAACTTGAATGAGTTTTCAATAAGACATGTTATACATGATTTTCAAAGCCAAATGAGCAAGCTTATTCTTTCAATGAAAATCAACCTAATTATCGAAAAAAAAAAAAAAAAGAACGAAAATCAACCTATGGGCCTACGGTGATGTTTGCTAGAACACGTAACTGGACAGATAGCTAGAATAAGCAACGACATCCACCCAATCCGGGAAAAGGCCCTTCAGCTTCTTTGCTGCATTAACCATGTGTTGGTCTAACACCGCAACTTCAACTCTCAAGTCTTCACCACTGCTAGCCTGCAATAATCACATGTAAACACTTCGGACATTTGATCACTTTCTTTATCTTTCTTGAGAGAGAGAGAGAGAGAGAGAGAGAGAGAGAGAGAGAGAGTTGCTGCTGTACCAACAGTAGAAACATAGAAATGCAAACTAACTGCCTGCAGAAATCCAACTTTACCTCTAACCAGAAAGTCCAATTCTGATGACTGGCTCCACTAAGACGGCATATGTATGAAGGCGGCCCTCCACCAAGTATTTCAGGGGCTGTGTACCAATTTCTCAGGGTAAGAGAGTTTAGGGAGAAGATAAAAAGCTCAACATTCAAGTGTAACCATAAAGACTTTTTTTCGTACCTGGAACCACATTGTCAGCAAATGACCAACCGGATAATGGGCCAGTAATATTGAGGACTGTAACCCAAACCTCCTCCAAGGAACTGAAAGAAATACATTAAGCTGTGAGACCTTGCAATTGAATAAACTGCCCAGAAAACTGTCTTAAACGTAACACATTCATCATCCTTCCGACAGTAGGTTGTGCACATTCTGCCACCGGCACATAAGCCGTTGCTTTAAAAGGAAAACTAACAGGAAAAAAAAAAAGAAAAGATTTTCAATTTTTATCCCAGACTTTGGAGGCGCTTTGAATTGGTGGCAAGGCTACCTCAACACAATAGATTACTTTCTAAATTGAGACTACATTCATAGGTTGCACACTTGGTTTTGTATTAACAAAAACAAATGCAGGGAAAAAGACGAACATTTTTGTACAATGCAGTATTTTCTTACAGAAATCAAAAGGCATTACATTTATCAAGATAAACAGTGAGTCATTACATAAATGCTCATTGAGATATTTTTATTCGAATTCAATCATACTGCAATGTAAGACAATATAAAACTAACACTTGAAAGATCCAAGACAACAACGGCACGTATGTATGCAGATAATAGAAAATAAAATATTCGGAATTTCAGAGGAGTGTAAAACAACAACAGCACAAATGTAAGACAATATAAATCTGACACTGGAAAAAAAACAACGGCACAATTTCAGAGTGTAAAAGAAAATAAAAAAAAAAAATCGGATTTTTTGTCGCATGTACGCAGATAAAGATAACTCGGATAGCACATGCACCTCATTCTACTTACCCCAGGGAAAGTTCCAAGTGAATTCTTCGAGTTTCCTTGCTGAAGGTTGTATGGGGCTCATAAGTAGTGAGCAGGGGAAAGTGTCTGTACTGCTTCAAAACTTCATCCCTCTTTGCTGGAAACTTCAAACTTCTTGAAAACAAAAAAGAAACAGGAAAAAGTCCCTGCAAAAGATGAAAGGTTATCTTAATATTATGGAAACCCACGGATTCCTTGAATTCCAATAAACATGAAATCTTATTTCTGCGAAAGTACTAATTGCTTCACTTCAAGATCAGGACATGGATATTTTCTAATCACTCAAACAAGAGAAAAGACACTTCAAACAGATCACCACAGGGCATGGGGCTCAGGTGGTTTTGCACACTATATGGAAGAACTTGCTCGTTGAGAATTAAGCAGTTTAAGTTTCGAGAGGCATAAACAGACCAGGGGAAAAAATGTTTGACATAATACTATAATCTTCAAACTTACTACCACATACCATCCATGTCTCTCGGTGAGACAACTTTGCAGTTTCGAATGAGAACTCTGGACCTATTTGCAACTCCTTTGCCACTTCAGGTGCGTGTTTGAAAAGAAAAAGTAAGGAATTGGAATCTACGACAGAAAATTCATAGTTGGACTCCACAACTTGATCTGAATCTGCAATAACAGAAGAAAATACTATTTTCAGATGATAAACCTGAGAGATGGGGAAAAAAAATTGGATTGTTTAGCATCTAGGGGATACCATCTAAACTAGGTTATACTAATACAAAAACCTTCATGAAGCTATAATCCTAAAAAAAACAATCAGACTTCTAAAAACAGTTTAAAATCATGCGAATTATTTAACACTACTGTTGCTAGCTTTAGTACCTGTGGTGAGAAACGTATGCTGAAAAACAACCCTCTTAGGTGCAGCTTTGGTGTATGGAAAGAACTGGGATGACAGAGCCAAGCCTAGTATGGTAAGATGAAGCAAAAATTGCATAATAGACCGCCTGGCTAACCAGTGACCACAAACAGGTAGAAGAGGGCCCACACACCAACCCGTCACAACTCCAACAACCGCCGCAACTACAACATCAGGAATGAAATAACCTGCATACAATGGATATCCATTTTTTAACATCCCCAAATAATTTTCTAACATCAATTAAAGAGCACTTGCAAATCCGTGAACATCTAGTGAATTGGAGAATTTCAGTTAGGTGCTAAGCCTAATAGTAGCAGCATCAATCTTCATCCTCTAATGTTGAGAATTGCAGTTCGAATCCCTTCCAATCTCGTGAAAAGTAAATTATTGAACATCACTTCCACGCTGTTGCTTATGCAGGCACAAGACATGTGCAAGCGCGATGCACACACACACACAAAATGGCCTTCAAACTAACAGGAAGGTCAGTAGTCAGCATCAGTTTGGGTCTAGAAAAAACTACTGTATCATGCTTTGGTAATAACATTTGCATTACTATTTACTAATTAAGTGAATAAAATGGTTCAAGGAAATCAATGTATGAGTTAATAGAAGTTGAGGAAAATTAACCATATGGGGGTGGACTAGAACCCATCATGCCCATCTTCTCAACCGAGAATTGGACGAGAAAGCCACCAAAATAAACAGAGTATGCGAGGAATGGAATTTGAGGTGTCAAGTAGAACATTGTTGCCCTGAGAGAGAAGCAGTATAAATCAGACTAAGCTAATGTGTTCTCATAAATTACAGCTCCTTTACCCAGAGTTAAACAAGACCAAAATGGCAAGACAAGACTGGACTAATGAAAGAAAAACAGTTTAAGAAACCAACACCTGAAAGATTGATGACCACAAGATTTGACTGCAAAGCAAAATGAAATCCACGCAAGAAGCATTGAAGCAGATAGAATAAAAGTCAAGAAGCCTCCACTTAGACCAGCTACAAGATAAGCCTGCTTTCACTTAATTAATTTTTAGCTGCTTCAGATTTTGAAATTAAAAGAATTGAGAGAACAACTGAAAAGCTCATATATCTCAGGATCATCTCTTCGAGTATTAATTGCATTACTCCATACTTGTTTGCTACACATTATAGAAATAATTTCACTACATACCGTAGTTAATGCAGCATATAACCCAAAAGTTCCCCAAAATCTTGCTTCAACAGAGAGTGCCTGCAATATTAATGTCTGATAAAATTTTTGCCTTCGAATGATATATGAGGTTATGAACGTTGAAGTTAGACCTTAGAAAGTCATCAAACAGCGGTATGTATTGACCATAGCTATACAAAGTGATTCTACAATGCACCAAGAGAATTTAAGACATATAAACATACCCCTAGCCATAAGTTAAAAAAGAAAGAACTTCTATCTAATGAAAAGTTTCATAGTCAACTTGGGAATGAAACAGATTATGTTAGAATAATTATTTTCTTTTTCACCTAAAATTTCCTTTTTAAAAGCTCTTCCACACCGCATGAAGTAAGGCCAACCCGCATCAATTTGGGATAGCCAAGTTTTGTCAGTTGAATTCATCGTAACCCAGAAAGTGCTGATCGAACTATGAAGATGAAATTTTTAATATCATCCACATTTACTATATACAATTGGGGTGATTAATTTTAAGTCTTTCTTCCCTTGTTACGAAGAATATTTTAACAGCAGTAAAGAAGAACGTAAACATTTTAACTTGACCTTGGTCAAGAGTTATATGTATTAGTACCTCCTTTGATGGCTGAAGACCTAAAACATCCTGCGAGAGGGGAAAGCGACTCCAAACAACTCTTGGAATCGACAAACCAACAAGTGCACAAGGGATGAACATCATGAAAGCCAAATATGGATGAGCAAACCTGCATACAAGTCACGCATGTCAACAAGAATCTTGGAAAACAACTAACACTTAGGGAGAAAGCTAGCTTGAAATTAAACTAACTCCAAATTGCTAGATTGGAATCCAGCTATTTCTTTAATGCATAATGGGCAGTTCTTTCACCATCACTGATGATTGATGATAAGAGTTTTGGAAGTACTTCTAAAAGTAATGAATATTTGATGACGAGAAATGTAATGTCTCATATAGAATACACGATCAGAAAACTTAACAGACAACTGTGGCCCATGGAGTTCTTATTCTAATATTAATATCTCAAAGAAAACAAGAAGGCAATAGCCTTTAGTATACGTACAACATAAAGATATAAACCTCACCAATTCATTCCATGACTAGTAAACAGCAATCTTAGGATGGAAAATATTATTGGGAAAATGATTGCAAAAATAACCGCCGCTGCGTAGAATAACATACCTGCAAATTAGAATTTTGCAAACATTATTGAGATTGTCAACTGCCATTAAACCCAAATTACAGTTTCGAGGCAGAAGTGTAGGCATAAGAAACAACTGGAGGATAAGAATAAAGCAAGAATGCCACGGGTATTATATAAAATAAAACATATACATATGTGCACACATATAAAAGCAAAAATGAACTGTCTACCTTTCATAAAATCAAATAAAGTTGCAAAGCAAGAACGTAGCCCAGAGGACCTTAAATGTAGGACTGGCATAATGAAGAAAATGGCAAGAGGAATGTTGTGAAGCAGCAGGGCCACTCTTCTTGAGTAGTATATCTATCATCAAAGCAACACAAAAGAAAGCAAGCCAACAAAAACAAAAGGTACCTGTCACTTAAAAAGATGCCTGTTATGTAATTAACTATTATGAGCAACACAGACCATGAACCTTGTAGCATACCATGAACCATGTTAAGTAATCAAAGAAAACAGCACGCTCAATCTTCTCTGAGTTTGTAGTAGCTTCATGAGATTCTCTTTCATGGGCCGTTTTTAGCTTAGAAGAATTGGCAAAAGCCTTGATGATGCTAAACAAATTGTCTCCACGTGCTTGGATACTTCCTGGTCTGTGGACATTTGGATGAATCAGAGGAAGTGCTTTGGAATGAGATGATATGAAAATTCCATTCTAAGTAAATCTATACCAAAATAGCAGTTGTAATGCATACAATAGTCTCTCCACTGTATCATATGAGGTATGGTAAAAATAACCACCAAGGAGAAAAATAATGTCCAGTCCGGGAATGTTGCCGTAGTCTTGGGAAAATATTCGGTAATCTGTATCTCCAGGAATGACTGGAAAAACATCCTGCATATAGACAGACATTCAAGATCAAATCAATAAAGGACAAATACAGTTTCTAACATCCCATAAACATTGCAATTAGAAAAATTATATTCTAATATGGTCAAATAGATAAATTGATTAAGTCAAAAAGAAGGTTCACCACATAAAACCACATTCCCCCATCAAAAAAATTAAATAAAATAAAACCACATCAGCACTTTGAAACTCACAGATAAAACGTTGATTGAATGCTTCCACTGTGATTTTAACTATTTGAAAAGAAATTAACCTGGGCTGCACTATGTGCCATTGGGTATATTGCCGATTGAGCATAGACTTCAGAAGGCCATGGACCAGGTCCAGATTGACAAACTAAATCTGCAAATATATAGAAACATACAGATAAGTCAAGACTGGCACGGCTCCGAAATGCTTTTATTTTCTTTGCAAATGACAAGCTTTAAAGTCCAATCATAATTCAAGAAAACAGACCAAACATGTTAACTTTCCTTCATATTTTCTAAATCTCCAATCAGAAATAGTAATGAAGCAATTGTTACTATCTTGGTACAATAAATTGGAAGAGATAGTAACGTTATAACAGTATAAAACTAATATTTCAATCCTCTAGACTACTAACATTCGACTTGGTAATGGAAAGTGTTTTTCATTAAAAAAAAAAAAAAAAATCCTCATTACAAGATGATCTCAATTTGATCAGGATAAAATGACGACCCCAACCAGTCAGTTTTTATTCTAGAAAAGCAGGAACAAAAAATGTGAATATTTTTAACATTATGCACTCAATGATATTGGCAACTGAAAACATCCTACCGGGCCCGCCTGTCCCAGATGCTTCCACATTTATAAAAGCTCCAATTGTATCACGCCACTTATGAGTCCTCATGAAGCCATGTGTTCCCTTAATTAAACATATGCAACTTTCCATTATCAGCTTAAGGATTATTGAAGGGCCCAATGACATAAGAGTAATGAAGTTAACATCATACCAACATAAAAAGCTCCTCAGCACCATTGAAAAGAAAAATAATAGGCCGAGGAGGAATCCAACCAGAGTCGACAATAAGACGCGCCACTTCCAGCATTGATGCTGCATAGGAAAATGCACAGACAAAAAGTATTATTAAGCCATCAATGGTGCAAGTCATTCTGCAGCTTAAAGATCTATTTCGTGTACCCACCAACACATGAACCACAATCACCCGCACCAGGGGAATCAAGTGGACTATCAAAATGGCCGTTCAACATTACTGATGCATCAGAGTCTTGTGAATTTGCCGATGATATTCTGCCATTACAAAAAGTCAATACCCGATGATATTTTCTAAAAGAATAAAGAAAAGGTAATTAGTGGTCCCTCAATGCTACTATTCACACCAAGTCCCCCACATTGATGGCTCATGTGGAACCTACTCATTATGAGTTGGTGGCCGAGACCGTTGATACCGAATAGGATTGCTGTTTTTGCAAATGTTTCAAGATAAAAGCAGTAATGCTTAACTAAGTCATAATTAATTCATAGAGTGGGACCTCGTGTCAAAATTTAATCGTTAGTACAGCCATAGAAAGAGGTCCAATAAAAAGCATAAAAACGCTAAGGTACCTCATGATAACATTTATGTGGTCTCTGTAAGTGAGAGATATGCTATGGCCTAAAAACATCATATTGAATGATCCATTAACAATAGTCTCCTCGATTTCAATCCTGCATAAAAAGTTGGTTTGTCAAACTCCATGTGTACGATAAGCTTCTGTAGCTAATCACAAATCATAGATCTTACAGGGGACTGGAGTTTTTTAAACCAAATAAAACAAATTCCATAAAAATCAAGATTGAACTGAAACTGTAACACTGCACCGACCTCGTATTTAATCCAGATCGCTCCTTTATCTGTCCCAACCGTCCTTTGATATAACGAGCAGCTTCTCTTAGACCAGGTCGCCCCTCCTACCAACAACCAAACTAAATTACCAATAAAGAACCCAACAAACAACGCAACGTCTCTGCCAAGTATCAATATATCACTAACAATTGTAGTAACTCTCTGCTTAGTAACATACAAACAACACGTGATCTTAAAAAAAAAAACTTTCTTCATATTCGAGCAATTAATGACAAGACCAAACAAGAATTTCACTCGTTTTGTTTTTCTATACTTTCTCGGAAACCAAACGGAAGAATTCAGATTGAAACTTTCAATATTAGCACAAAAGAATTAAATCGATCACGAGAACAAAAACCTAATCATATCGATCTTATCGAGTTAACAAATCCGAAACATGAAAAAAAAAAAAAAATTGCGATTCGAAGTTAATTGAAAATGCAGGCTCACTTGGCGTCCATCGATCTCCTTGGACAAAAATCGGACGTGCTCGATCGCTCTGGCTTCCGAGAACCGATCAAGAGGCGCGTCGATCTCCAGCGGAACAATGAATTTCATGTTGACGATCGAGTAGACCAGCATCGACAACAGCCCGTAGACGACGGCGAGAAGCAATAGGAATTTGAAACCGGAGACATCTGCGGGGCTAAACCTAGACGCCATTATCGATCGGTGAAGAGCTCCAGAAATCTCTCTAATGGCGTGAAGAAAACGCAGTGCGAGAACCGTGAATGAGTGTTTGTTTGGTTTGGTTTGGTTTTATATTTATGGGAAGATTAGATTAGAACAGTATTAAGAAGAGGGGAAGCGTGTACGAATTGGCAATCCTTCAAAATTTTGACAAAAAATAGGGTGTTGGAAGTTTGGGAAGGTTCTGGGTTTTGGAAATGAAGTCAAGTCAGTGAAGAGAAACTACATAAATGTGAACGATGCTAACAAACGACCTCCCGAGACGGGACGTCATTTGTTTTCTGTTTATATACTTGTCTTGTCTTTTGCAAGCGAAATAAAGGGGAATAAATCAGAAAAAATAAAGGGATAAATACGCTGCCTGCCAGGACTACTGCCCTTCGATCGACATATGCCAGATTAGGACGTTTAGTTAGAGTATTTAAATTATGTAATTTAAATTATTTTTAATTTATGTGAATTTTTTATGAGAAAAAATACTATAGTGAATCACGAATCATGATTTAAATTAAAGAATAAATTCCTCTATCAAACATCCTCTTAATCTGATTTAATAAATATCTTATGCTAAATTTTAATAATATATTTATATTATAATGTTGCAAGTTTAAAAAGTAATTTACCTTTATTTAATTTCTTTATGAATGTATAATTTATATGTTTTGAGTTTTTTTGGTGTATAAATATTACGAATATTGACTATAAAAATATAAATAAAATTAATTATAAGTATGTGTATTAAATTATATTTATTTTAATCATTATACATCTTTACAGTAATTTTATACGTAATTTATCAAACACTTAAATTTCTACTATTGGTATTCACAATAATTTTTTTTTAAAAAATATCAAACACTTACATGTTTCTGATCACAATAATTTTTGACTAACAGCACAATAATAACATAAATTTTAAACAATACAATAATACTAAACTGACCCTAAATGTGATTAATCTAAAATTCAAGAAATAAAATAAATTTTTTTAAAATTTATAAGGCAAACTCATAATAACCTTAAAATTGAGAAGAGTACTCATGATAATGATCCTTATACATATAAATGAACTTCAAATGCGTCTTAATTTATCTCTCTCTTTCTTCCTCTTGTCTTTTTTTTCCCGGTTGTCTTCCGCGTGCATGACATGTTTGTAAAGTGGAAATTCACTTGTTGTTCACTGTTATTATTGGAGTCGTTTTCGAAATATCAATACTATTCCACCGGCTCTGTCGCTTTCCACCGCTTTTGGGTGGCTCTGTCTTTGAATTGCGTCTGGCTTACGGAAGACACTTTAAAACTTAAACCAGGCAGACGATTATCAAAATATTTTAGCAAACTAATAATAAGAGCAGTAAAAGAAGTTGACTCCATAATAGGCTAAGCATTCCATTTATTATATGAGTGTAATGAATATCCCGATTTTTTATGCTCACGACACGCCGCATTTTTCTTTTTTTTTTGAGATTAGGGTTTGGTTGGACATTCTTTTTTTGGAATGGCCCAAGGACGGGTTCGGTTTAGGGTGGATCATCTTTATTGTCCGTTTGGTTCATGGATTAGAACTATGATATTATAATTATTTTTTATTTATATGTGTTTTTTATGAGAGAAAATATTGTAACGAACCATGAACTACACGTGGATCATCTTTATTGTCCGTTTGGTTCATGGATTAGAACTATGATATTATAATTATTTTTGATTTATATGTGTTTTTTATGAGAGAAAATATTGTAACGAACCATGAACTATGATTCGAATCAGAGAACGAATCCTCCAACCAAACTGGCTTAACTCTTAGGGCTCTTCATAAACCCATAAAATTCGCATGTCCAACTCAATTTGAAAAATACAATTTTTAATATTAAATTTTTTTCGATCTATTCAATGTTTAACCTGAAATTTTAAGGTGAAGTGTGAATTATACTTATAATGGCCCGCACATTATAACTCAATCTGCGCTTTAATTTGTCTTCTCTAATATCTAACCTAAAGCAAGTAACTCATTTTTACTCTCTAATTTATTCATGTTTGAATTAAGCATCTATGTTTACTTTATGTTAAGACTAATTTATGAGTGTAAACTAATTTATGTTTGCTTTATATTTGATATTTGATGGACTTCTCTGCTTCATGTTTAATGTTAGATTGAACTTTGAATTTCTATCTATTTAAATGCTAGAGTTACTATTTCTATTTGATGATGAACTTTGAATGTTTGATTGAACTTTGAATATTTAATTCTTTAAATATTGAAACCGACCACACAACCCACTCCGCACCGCCCCAACCCAACCCAAACATCATTGGATTGTGAAATTTTTCTAACATTATTGGGGCTAATTATGTGCAACCCACACCCTTTAAGGCGGGAAAATAAAAAGCAAAAATAATAGAAAATAGGCCAATATGAAAAGTTTAAAGAAGTACATAGGCCAACTTTTAGTTATAGAAATTAATATGCCATAACTTGTCAATATATGATTTATAACCAGATAAGTTATGGATAAACTTGTCAAGTTATGGTTCATAACCAGACAAGTTATGGACGAAAATAGTAATTTGACATATTTATTAACTTATGTAAACTATTAACTTATTAATTTTAATTCATCTCAAATTTTAACCTATTTCCATCTTTCTCCTAATAAAAAATCTTATAACGTACCAACCTAACTCATTAACAGCCTAATTACTCTACACGCAGTGTCTCTGAATTGGTTACCTTGACAATGAGACACGTGTTGTTATGACAAATTGTGCTGCTGATTGACACGTGTCGTCAACAATCTCAAATCTCGATCTCGATGTAACCTCGTAGAGTTCTGGTGACTTCAATCGAATTTGCACCAATTGTCTACCTCTCGACTTTGATTCCGATCAAGAATCAACATGGGACGTGTGGCGCGTTATTGGTATGCCGTGAGGAAATCCACCGACATTGATTGCATTTTTTTTTTCTTTTTCTCTTAACATATTTTCTTTGTTTCTTTTTTTTTTACATTATTAATGTCTACATCATAACTCTGCATAAAATAAGCAGATCAACATAGTTTGTTATTATGTTGCTCTACTTGTGTACGTTGACGTCCCTTTCTTTTTTTTTTTCTTCTAATATTTAAATTACTACTTTTATAATTTTTTTAAAAAAATATGCGACTGATTGATGCTAGTTACCAAATAGAATATATATAATAGAATCTACCTTCCACAATACTTGAAGAGAGTTCAAGAAATACAAGATAATATAATCTATAAAGCGTATTGATCCCTAAAAGAGTGAAGATATAAAAGAAGCATTTTGGTCAGATCCCCAACACCGTTTACAGCCGCATTATTGCACTCCCAGCCTTGTATTTTCATGCACGAGCTTGCAATTATAAAGGTCGAATGGTGGTAGGGGTGGTTTTTGCTATTGTGGGGACACAAGGGTTGAATCTTTTACAAAAATGAACAAAGGTGTTAGCTATTTTTGGGGCTACACTCAGTTTTAGAGGTGTCAATTGGGCCAAGCCGTCCATGGACGGCCTGGCCCAGCCTGCTACAATAGTAAATTCGGCACGGCACGGCACGCTAGAAGGGCTTGGGCTGGGCCTCATGTTTGAGGCCCGCAGCCCAGGCACGGCCCAGGCCCGCCAAGGCCCAGGCACGCGAAGGGCTAGGCACGGGCTAGGCACGCGAAGGGTTAGGCCCGCGACATTAAATTTTAATGAGGTTTGAGGCATTTTAGGGCTAATTGGCCGACCTATGCCGTCTGGTCAACCAGTCATTTTCTTATAATTATTCATATTAATTCAATAAAATCATATATTTTTGGGGCATATGATATATTACTTTTTTTTGTCATCAAATTTGAAATTAAAAAAATCCTAAAAATATTGCTAATCATAAGTGAAACTCAAGTGCATTAAGAAAATTAGGTTAAGATTGAGTTTAGATATAACAGAATCTTCTAGAAGCACTTAGGTTTTGTAATTTACTTATCCTAGAATACTACACTCTTTTTTTTCTTCGCTAAGGTTTTGTCCCGATCTCCCCACGAGATTTACTTGACAAGGTTTTTAACGAGTTGATCATTTATGTGTACTTATTTGTATTATCTCAATTCAATAAAATTACATCTTTTGGGGACATATGATATATTTTCTTTTTTTTAAATAAATATTGAAAAAAAATTAAAAGGGCCAGGGCCGGCCCGTGAAGGGCTTGGGCCCAAGCCCGGCCCTGGCCCTTATGGACTAGGGCCAAGGGCCAGTGCTGGGCCTGAGGTTTTCTCCTCAGGCCCGGCCCTGGCACGGCCCAGGCCCGCCGTGGGCCTAGGGTTGTGCCGGCCCGGCACGGCCCTTTTAACATCTCTACTCGGTTTGCTTTTATAACATTTATACTTTTTTAAAGTATCGTCTCTGGTGATACGATGCATTAGATAGTATCAGAAGTGTCACATTAGCAGTTGCATTATGCGCTAATGGTGTTTTCCCCTCACTCGGTGCCCGACCATTTTCTATTGTTTTGGGTGCTAATGGTTGTCTCTTTGTTAGATGTTTTATCATCATTTTTTTCAGTTGTTTTTTCCCTTTTCTATTTAGCTTGGTTTGAGTTTGTGATAATACTCATTTTACCTGGACTTGTTTGTGCTTTTTTTTTTTTTTAGTGTTTGGTTGTATTTTTCTCTCCTAGATTTGTTTATTGGCAGTATTTTTTTTGTTAGTTTATTAAATACTTCCACATGATTGGTTAAAAGTTGTATGTATGTTCTGTTTTAGTGTATCTTTTTAGGTGTCTATTTGTGAAGTTAGATACATTTTATTTATTTTTTTAAGCATTTCATTTGAGTTCGTAGGTAGAGCCAATTGTTTATTGATGTGGTATTTTCTGCACTAAAGAAATTGTACACATGTGAATTAGTATTTGTATTGATTTTTTCGCGCTATGAATGTATTTTCTTTTAAAAAGGGTTTAAGAATTACCCAAAAAAAAAAAAAGTTCCCATGAAAGCTGAATTGCCCCCAAAGTTGGACGCAAATAGCTCAGATTGGTTTCTCACGATGCTTCTTATTTTTTCATTAAAATAAAAAAGAAGATTTCCAGTTTGATTGGATCCATTTTCTCGTCATATGTCCAAATAAGTACAATGATCATCTTTGACTCTGCCTTTTTTATTCACATAATATCATACCATTCCGGCTTCTCCTATGGTCATTAAAAAATCTTCAGCAATTGGCTTCCTTCAATCTTCACAGTTTTTTTTTTCTTTTTTTTTTTTTGTCCCCAAAGGGGAAAAAAAACATTTAAATAAGTTAAACAAGGTAAAGACGAGGAAAAGTACTCCGGAGGTATTTTCATTCTCAAGGGTAGTTTCTTTAGATTGCATTGTTATAATAATAATTTGAAAAATTCACAAATGCACCATCATTAAAAGCAGAAAAAAATAAAACTTAATTAATAAAATACATTTATGTGAGGAAAAACCTCAATCGGCGATACATATTTCTGAAATTTACGATTAAAATATACAATAGAATGAGTTATTCGTTTTTAATAAAACTTCACTTAAAAGAATATACTCATATTCATCGTGGTAAAAAGTCTCTATCGAATTCGGATTTATATCAAAATCACAATAAAATTAAAACAGATAAGCAAAAAAATCACAATAAAATGACATGCATTTTTTTATAAGAATCTATTTATTGATATAATTAATTTTAAATTATTAAATTTAATTAAAATCATACCAAATTAAAAAATATATACAAATAAATAATTTTTAATATAAATATAACAGCTGAAAAAAAAAAACATTAGTAGTTTCTTTTTTTATAGTTAAATTCCTTTTTTATAATCTACCATATAATTTATAGAAAATAAAACGCCCCAATTAGGCATTGTTTTGTTCAACCAACACAAAGAAATGCTCAATATTCCTCTTCGCCTTCTTACCAAAATCCATGGCGTAGTCCGTACCACTCAGCAGCAGCAGCACAGAGAGAGTGCTAGTCTCGTCGCCAGATCCCCCAAGATGTACGGAAAAAAAGCGGCCATAATCTCTCTGTTCTTCGTGATCGTCCTCGTCATCTCCTACTCAATGTCGATCGGGACCGTCGATCTCCGGTCCTACTTCTTCCCCCTGCTACAGTCACCGCCCGGTGCACGCCCCCTCTGTGCAACCATCGCCTCTCCTCTTCCTCTCCGTGTCTTCATGTACGATCTCCCCCGCCGCTTCAACGTCGGCATGCTCAACCGCCGGAGCTCCGACCAGGCGCCGGTCACCGCCCAAACTTGGCCGCCCTGGCCGAAGAACTCCGGCCTTAAGCGGCAGCACAGCGTCGAGTACTGGATGATGGGCTCGCTTCTGTACGACGGCGATGGGAGAGAGGTCGTTAGGGTCTCGGATCCGGAAATGGCTGAAGCCTTCTTCGTGCCGTTCTTCTCCTCTCTGAGCTTCAACACTCACGGCCATAACATGACCGATCCGAAAACTCGGATTGATCACCAATTGCAGGTGCTCCGTTTGATTCCTTAATCTAACCGTTCGTCGTTTAGGCTTAAATTAATTAATTATCATGTTGTTGCGTTTCCGTTGCTGAATTGGTATTGAAGAGACAAATTCACTTGTATTTTCTATTCTCAACCGTGATTTTAGATTTGGTGAGATTGGAATTTCTGGTTTTGAAGCAGCAAGCGCTAGATTAGGAATTCAGAAATGTAAGAATAAAAACAAATAATAATAATGTTTAAGAATATGACGTGATTTTGTAGCTGTTTAGTCAATTTATTATAATCAAGTGGATTACATATGGAGCGAAAAACAGACATGCGCATAATGAAATTGTACTTGTTAGTGACATTATCTAAACGTGTCATTTGTTTGTCTTTATCTCGTACTATTCTTTGGTCAGGAATTGAGGTAATTTACTCCTTTTCAGCTTCTCATGTTTAAGCCCTGACTTATGCTTTGAATGTAAAACATCACTATCTAACTGGACTGATGATGTTTCTTACTGAGCTTTAATATCATTGTTATAGTTAAAATTGCTGCATTGCTTCAGATTGACTTGCTCGAATTCTTGGGGGAATCGAAGTACTGGAAGAGATATGGGGGCAGAGACCATGTGATTCCGATGACTCACCCGAATGCTTTCAGGTTTCTTCGAGCGGAGTTGAATGCGTCGATTCAGATTGTCGTAGATTTTGGCCGCCACCCCAGAACCATGTCAAATTTGGGCAAAGATGTAGTGGCCCCTTACGTACATGTTGTTGACTCCTTTACAGATGATGACCTTTCGGACCCATATGAGTCTCGGACCACGCTTCTTTTCTTTCGAGGGAGGACATTCAGGAAAGATGTACGTTTAATATGAATAGAAAAACTTGTCCTGGAACCTTATGTTCTGAGCAGAACTGACCATCTTGTGTCCTTTCATGTTCAGGAAGGTATTGTTCGTGTGAAACTGGCAAAGGTTTTAGCTGGTTATGATGACGTTCACTACGAGAGGAGCGTTGCGACTGGAGAAAACATAAAAGCGGTATGTGGTGAAGTTTTGTAGATGTGAATAATGCTGATATGTGCTTATTTTGTCCCATTGATGGTCCATGATTGACGTTATAATTTACTATCTTGAACCCACAAAGGGAGTGGCATAAATATATTCGCCTGAAATGGTTTCCCTCTGGTGTCATTTTTAGACACCATACCATGGTGACTACTATTTGTTTTTATCTGAATATGTAGATGCAATTAATGACTTTATCATAGTTAAACTAAGATCCTGATTAGCTTAGGACAATCTTTTATCGGGATATTTTCTCTCCTTTTAGTTTGGGTGTGTGGGGGACTTGGTACCAGAAATAGAGATGGTTGAGTAAATCCAAGGAAGGATACCTTTTCATCTGTTCTTACTGCTTTTTCACCCCAAAATAAAAGGGTCGTGCCCTCATGATTATCCTGGTCTACACAGTATGTGCTCTTTTTGACAGGACAATTCTCTTTGCAAAAGAGTGTGCAGTCAGCCATCTCTGTTTTTCTTTGTTTCATGTTTTGTTTGCCTGCTTATTTTTCATGCTTATCTTGTCCGTCTCATTTCTTTCTTGCCTGCTATACCAGTCTTCACTAGGAATGCGGTTATCGAAGTTCTGCCTGCATCCTGCAGGAGATACTCCTTCATCTTGTCGCTTGTTTGATGCTATTGTGAGCCATTGTGTTCCCGTCATTGTGAGCGATCAAATTGAGCTCCCATTTGAGGATGAAATTGACTACAGCCAATTCTCATTGTTCTTCTCATTTAAAGAGGCTTTGGAACCTGGTTATATGGTTGAGCAGCTCCGGAAATTTCCAAAGGAAAAATGGGTTGAAATGTGGAGGCGGCTTAAGAACATCTCACATCATTTTGAATTTCAGTACCCACCAAACAAGGAAGATGCTGTGGATATGTTGTGGAGACAAGTAAAGCACAAGGTTCCTGGAGTTAACCTTGCTGTGCATAGAAGCCGGAGGTTGAAAGTTCCCGACTGGTGGAAGAGGAGAAGATGATTTCATAAGTCCATTATCTTTGTACATTCAGAATCTTTTCACGGTTATAATTACAACCCTTAAGTGGGGTGAGAATAACTAGGGATAGTTTGTCAGCCAAAAGAAAATAAACCTAGAGATAGTTGCGACCCCGGAACGAGCAAGTACATTTTTCGGATTGCTTGGCGTCATCTTCATGTTCCAGATTACATTGGGGTCAGACAGTTTTGCTTCTTTTTTTTTTCCTGACTTCCCCATAGAAAAGGGGAGTTTTTCTATTGTAATTACACAGGGATTTTACACATTCAGAATTTGTTGGAGTCGATCCTCATTTGTTACAATTGTATTTCTGGATAATTTTAGGTTTTCTCTTGCAAAGTGAAGGAGTTGGTCTCTTTTTTCGTTTCGTCTTTGCTCGTCTCTCATCTCCCTCTTGCTCCCTCTTGCTTTTATTTGGACCATTTTACTTTGATTTGGACAATTTTTGTGTGTAAGATACGCATATGAAATCTTGAATTTTGGTTTGGACGGACAAAAAGAAAAGTTTGGTAGCAAAGTCAAATGGAAACTCACACATTCCATGAGCACTAATCATGGCAAAATTAGAAGCCAAGCCAATACTTTATATTGTCGTACATGTTTTTAGGAAAGCTAAAATAGACGCAGAAGTCAAAACACACAATCCAAAAATAATCCCAAACTAGCGCAAATGTTCCTCCCAAGTCAGACCTTTTGCTTTGAAACAAGTTTCTCCACTCTCTCGGGTTCCAATTTCTCACACAAACATTATATGCTGTTTCCTAGTCATTTTTGCTACTGTTTCTTGGCTGCCGTTCCCATTGTCAATGGGACTTGTCATTCATAAATCTTATATCATTTAGTCACCGAGTGCTTATATAATAACACCTTCAGAATTTTAATCTTGAACTATAGGTCAAATTTTATTTTAATTATTGACTTTTAAAGCACCCTAAAAGAAGTCTCTGATCTATCAAATTATTCTAGATTAGCTTTTCGTTCATTTGGTTGTTAAATTCTCAGTGGAAAAATGTATTAACTTGTTTTTTCTTTAACAATCCTTTCCTAACATGTAAAGCGACAAAGGTAACTCTCACTAAACCGATGATCATGTTGTTGCAAGTATAGTTTAATAGTAATTTCACACCTCATTGCACTATAAGGTGTAGAATACCCTGACCCTTTAATAATAACAATAATAATAATAATGGTCTTCAAGTATCTTTTTAGATTTTAATAGATTGATGGACAGAAATACTAATTTAGAACAAGATAATGGATACTAGACTTGTTCTAAAATATTTTAAAAGTCGTAAATTAAAATAAAATATTTAACCTATAATTCCGGAACTAAAAATGGTTAACCTTTTATAAAAAAAAAAAGTGAGAGAAAGAATTAGGCTATGAGGTGTCTCATGGGAAACTACTTGCTGCCTAGAATTTAGAACTTGTTTGCTTAACCCAATTAATAATATATATATATATATATATATATATATATCTTAAAGCATGGGTAGATTCCAAACAAACTTTCTAAGTTCCGTTAAATTACTATACTTCAATTCAAATCCAAATCCAAATCTATCTCTCTCCTTCTTTTCTGTTTCAGTGTTGCGTTGTGTTCTGAAAGAAGATGGTGTTCGTTGAACATTTAAGTAGTAGTGTACATATATAGTTGAACTTGAGGTGGGATTCACTCAAATGGCATACGTACCAAAGGGAAGAAACGGCTACAGCATAACATGACGCAAATTGTTATAAACCCATAGACCCAGTTGTTATGAGCCAGCTTTTCACTTTAATAAAGACGGATATTAAATTTTTTTAATAAATTATCTTAATTGAGAATATATAAAAAAATATATTTATTTTAATAGAGATATATACTATTTTAATAAAAATTTAAGTGTAAAATTTTAAAATTTTTAAAGATAATATATATATATTTTTTTTAAAATTGTCTGAGTTGAGTTGTACTTAAATCTGCTGGTTGTCATTAACCAGAAAGATTCCATATTTGCATGCACGAGTCGTGGCATCCAAATTACAACCCCTTTGGCAGCCAAATTTAAGTTACATGCAAGATCATTGCCACCTTTGAAGACTGAAGTACATAATTAGCCCTCACAACTTTATTTTGCGCCCTAAAATGTATATCACCAATTCAGAGTTCCAGTTTTTCTGAAAGGTAACAGCGTCGATATTGCATCAACCCAACAATCTAAGACCCACAAATCACCCCTGAAACAAGGCAGCAAGAAACAACACCGAGAAATCAATACAGCTACAGGCAGTATAATGATGAAGGAATCGACCATAATTATTCACTTCGCGGATTCGAGTTGAGATGTGACATTTTCTGAGAGTTTTTTACTGTAGCAGAAAAAGTTAGATGTGATATTTTCTGAGAGTTTTTTACTGTAAAAACCTAAAACTGAAAACTCGAATCGGTGAAATGAACGAGACCATTAACTCCGCGGTGAGCAACCAATATGAAACTGTCACTCAACTGGTACATCTACTTTATTTTTAAGCTCAATAATCAGAAACTTGTCCAATTGTACCGTCCATCATATTAGCTATTGAGATTAGGAATGTTACCTTGAAGACAATTTTAAATAAAGAATCTCTTGTGCCATTTAAAAAAAAAAAATCATTCTTAGGGCATGTTTAAGTCGCTGATTTGAGTTGATATGTAACTTTATGTGAGAATTTTTTACTGTAATAAAAAAGTTAACTGTGGCTGTTTCTGAAAGCCTTTTACTGTAATAAAACTTAAATTTTAAATTCGAGTCAGTGAAATAAATGGAGTCTTGTTTTTCTATGTTGTGTTACGAAACAAAAATAAAATAAAAATTAATTTAATATTTAAAATAATTTCTTCATAAATCAACCTCAATTTATATGCATATTGGCACAAATTAAGCAATTTAATTTACCAATTAAAATAAGTTTCACGTCTCTTAACAATTGAACAAGTTATAAGTTACGTTAGAATGAATTATTGTTGCGTTTGTTTTCTCAGAAGTTACGCTGTCGTTTTATCATATACCCATCCATACACTCTTATGTTATTTTATGAAAATAAAGCATGTGGGACATTACCGAGAAGTCCCTCCCAACAACACAATTTTACATCAATGCCAGGTCAAATAGCCCCAAGTCCCCAACAATTCGCTACAACCAGTGAAAGAGACACAAATTTATTAACAATTCTTTTAACACTCAATTGAACCAATTATTCAACAAAATTAACTGGACATTACACTACTGGCCATTTGACACCTAGGGCGGATCCATCCAGATTAGGGCCGGTAATATGGGTCACGATACGACGACACGACTCGAAAACGACACGAATTTTACGAGTTAGGGTTAAGAAAAAAGAGGTTCGAGTCAGAATTGGGTCGACCTGAAATTGACACAAAAAAACACGGGTCAATTTCGGGTTGGACCTGCCTAACCCGAACACGACACGAAACTCGTAAAAAACTAAAAAATACATATATTTTTCATTTCATATTTTAAATTTTATTATGAACTTGTGATATCATTATAGTTATACTCAAAATCTTATATTATTATTTGCTTAATTTCAATGGATGTTATTGTAATTTAGTGTGTTATGAATTTTAAGTTATTTATAATATGTAAAAAACTAAATAAAAGTATACAATTTTCGTGTCAATTTCGGATTCATAGGTCAATTTCATGTTACATGTCATTTTCGGGTCGGGTCGTGTCAACTCGTAAAGTGGTCGTCTCATGTTCGTGTTGAGGTTTTTAAAAAATTTCGTGTCACGGGTCGTATTCAGGTTGACTGCAAATTTAAAAAGAAACGATCAAAATACGATACGAACACGACACATGACACGAATTGTCACTCCTAATCTAGATGGCAGGATGGAATCAGTTCCCCCTATATATATATATATATATAGCAAATTCTTCATTGGCTATAATTTTCAACAACCACTAAAAAAAGGGACATTTAACGTCTCATATTCAACAACGGTTTTTACAAAAACTGTCGTTGATCCTCCTGTAAAAAGTTATACAGCTAACGCATGGGATTCGACGACGATTTTTAAAAAAACCGTCGTTAAATATATAATCTTCAAATTAAGAAATAAAAAAAATAGCTGCATCCATTTCATTATGAAAGAGACCAATTTAAAAACATGTCAATGTTTTCTTGCTCTGAAGAACATGTCAATGTTAGATCCCTCAACATCCGTTCAATTTATAGAAAAAAACTCACATTTTGAATGTATTGTTCTAAAAATTTTAACTTTATTATTAATTAATACTCTTTTAACTAATATAATTTATTGATTAAAGGGTATTAATCAAGAATAAGAGATAAAAATTTTTTAATTTCTAAGAGATATTTCTCTCATTTTCTCATATAGTTTTTTGGGATAATGTAATAAATATCATATTTATGAAACTAAATGAAATAAATAACATATTTTAAAATTATTTAAAGTAAATAACAGTTTACTGCATAAATGATTCATTTATAACAAGTAAAAAGATTTTTTTCACGTAAATTTTCTTTTTTACAACTAGTAAAAATATTTTTTTCACGAAAATAAAGATTTTTTACTACGTAAGTTATTTTTATCAGTTATAAATGAATCATTTATAGAATAAACTGCTATTTATTTTAAATAGTTTTAAAATATGTTATTTAGATTCAAATGTTATTTACTAATTTTTTTATTACTCAGAAACCAATCAGCCTAGTACTTGGGAGTTGAGATTCATGCCCTTAAATGTCGAGATAATTACGCTACCTGCCACAGGTCTAGACCGTGGATCGAGTTCTACCATGGGTACACAAACTATTACATTTTATACCACATTTTTTAGACTAAGAGCTCGTTTGGTTAGAAGATTCGTTCTCTGATTCAAATTATGGTTTATGGTTTGATATAGTATTTTTTTTTTATAAAAAACATACATAAATTAAGAATAATTCTAATCTCACAGTTCTAATCTATGAATTAAACGGGCTCTAAAATATTGAAGAGATTAAAAATACCCATAGGTCAATTAGGTTTTTTTATTCTTTTCTCTCTCTACTTCTCTTCCGGTCGTTCTCTTCTCTTTCTCTCGTGATTCTCATTTCCAGCCGCCGTCGTTCTGGAGAAACTCATCGATTACTATCGACCAGTGCCTCCCCCAATTTCCTTACTATTTCGCCCTTGGATCTCCAGCCCCTCCCGTCTCTTGCCTTTAGCAGATATGACAACCTTCTACAAATTCTGACGACCTTCTGCAAATTCATGTCGCCGATAGAGTTTCGCAAAGAAGCTAGGTAGCTGCAAAGGTAGCAACCAACGAAATCTCTTCGTGCTCATCTGCAAGATATGGCGTCTGCAACCTCGCATTTCTCCCCATCATGGCCATCGTCACTTGCAACGCCGTGATGAACACGACAGCGAGATCTTGTATGCCGAACAATTTGCGCTCATATCTCTGTCAATTTTCTTGGTTGTCGCTTTGCAGAACCTCGCTGAGTTTTTCTCACTGATTTTGCCTGACATTTGGGTTTTTTAAAGTGATTTTTGTATTTTTGAAAGTGATTTTGACTCGAGCTTGACATGCGACCTCGTAGCTCTTGACGAACACAGCAGCGAGATCTTAGTCGTCGTGAAGAGCTCCTCGAGCTATGACCGCAGTGAGCCTGATGAGATCTCAGTCGTTTGTAGATCCTTGAGAACGGTTCTCACCGGAGCGGAAGTTGATTTTTTATTTTTCATGCATTTTTTGTGTGGTTATTGTGTTCTTTTTTTTTTTGTGTGATTTTTAAGTGTTCCAGTGACGGGGACAACCATAGAACCACTAGTACTGGCAACTATCGACTGGTATCGCACCAGAAATTATTTTTCGGTTGGCCACCACCGTTGACAGCTGTTTCCAACCGATTCAGGTGGTACAGGTTGGTAACTCGGTGGCTACCGACTGGTGACTCGATGGTTACTGATTGGTAACCGGTATGGCAGTGGATACCAATCAGTATTGCAGCTAGATACCAACTGATATCATGGCAGATAACACAGACCAAAGGCACCCTTGAGAATTCTGGTGACTATTGCCGCCAGTACTCGCGGTTGTTCGCTGGATACAGTTGGGTATCTTAGTTGGATACCGGTTTTGTCCTGTGGGTATCTCGAATGGATATTAGTATTGTGGCTGGAGACCTACGGTATCCTAAGGGTATATATGATATTTCAAATATAGTGTGGTATTCTCTGTAAGACTTTATGTCTTAATTCATTCTTAAAATTTGTTGCAGTTTTCTTTAAAGCCCTTAAAAGTGGGTCTCAAAAATTGGGTTGTATGGGCTCTCTCTTCGGCCCAAATCTTCTTTCTATGAAAGTTACAGTATTTATTCTTAAAAAGTATATCAATCTAAATTTTTTGTCCTTATTCTTAATAAATATTTTTTAATTAGTATAATTATTTAATTAAAAAATTATAAATTAAGAATAAAAATTAAAATTTTTAACCCATATACTTTTTAAAAGATACTAATTAAGATTACCCGCGGCAACTTGAGACCATGTCCTTCTGCCACTAATCTAATCTGCGCCCAGAATTTACCCAAAACAAATAAAAATATAAATAAATTATCTAATGTCGGAATTTTTAAGATAAGAACTTTTCTTTTAATGGAAGTGTTAAAAAGCAACAGCCGTAATATGAGTCATGTGGGGTTGTAAAAAGTAGAGAGAGAGACCCAACAGAGGCGCGCGGCGTGGGTAACATAACATCCATGATTCTTCATATTGGGGGCAACTTGCCGTGGCTTTAAGGCTCCAAAAGAAAGAAAAAGCCATCTTCACTTGACTAGGTTCTGACGCCTTTTGGGAGATGTCGCATCACTGCCACCTGGCAGTCATAATCGAAAACTGATATTCAGAGGAAAGAACCAACAGATGAGGACATATTAGAGTGTCATGGATGCTACGTCCCAAACACAAAACTGCTCAAACTTTCTCCTTAGCTTTTCTCGCCAGAGCTTTTCTATCTTGCCAAACATTTCTCACTCATTCTACCTCTTTCTCACGCGCTAAACAAACCGTATTCCAACTTCCATTTCCATCCACTTTCTTCAGCAACGTCCATTTTGTTAGAGAACCAGTTTGATACTTCCTCATTTCGTTTCACATGCTTTTTTAATTTGATAGTTAGATATACGTTTAGAAACATACGCTACCAATAGAAAGTAAAAACACGAAAGTTGTAAGAAAAACTCCAATGTTGTCTTTGGTTGAAATAAATACTTAGGACTCGTTTACTTTATTAATTTAACTTTTTAATATGTGAATTTATATGAGAGTTTTTTACTGTAATAGAAAAATTAGACGTGATTGTTTTTGAGAATTTTTTATTATAGCAAAACTCAAATTCTAAACTCGAAGTAATGAAATAAATATGTCCTTAATTTTTCTATTAATGAAATAAAACATTTTATTTGAAATTTTATAATGATTTTTTTTTTGTACATTAACATAATTTTCACCATTAAAAGTTGCTCTTGGATTAAAAAATTAAACCCTCGTTTGTTATATAGGTTCAAATTAATATTCAACATTTTTTATTATAACATTTTCTTTCACAATATTTAATTTTTTTTTTAAATTATTGTGTTTAAATCTATAAACTAAATTGCACATATCAGTTCTTACTAATTCCAAACAACCCTTGAATATTACTATTTTTGAGCTTTGTATTTAACGTTGGCTTGAATGAGCGCGTGGTTTCGTTGTATGTTTTTTTCTTTTTTTTTAGTGAAAGCGGTTGTTGTACTTAAGTAATTAGATAATTATATTATCTTTTGGGAAAGTTGATGCAAAATATTTTAGTACGTAGCCGAGAGTTTCTACTGTCTAGGGAGGGCTGCCATGTGGAATCTGTTCGCGTTGTTGGACTTCTTGTCAACCAAGCAGAAATACATGTCCCCTGAGTTTTTGGCTTGTTACTGCAAAAGGAATAAAAAAATATAATACAAAAGAAGACTAATTCTAAAGTCCAAACTACCCTTTGGCTTTAAGACATTACACATCTTATTTAGTATTATCATTATCATTATTATTATTATTATTATTATTTATGCAAAGGGTTCAAAACAACCATTTAAAGGAATAATAAAATAAAGCCTTAATTTTGACAACAATGATTTTCTTTCTTTCCTTTTCTTTTTTCTTTTTTAATAAATATATAATCCATCATTTCACTTAATATGCGTCTTTGAGAAAAGAAAAATAGCAAGGAATAAATGTTATTACAATTAGGGCACAAAGAATGTAAAAAAAATAATAATAATGAGATTAGAAAAGAAAGTAAAGTAATAGAATTAATGATGATTTATTTTCTTTCATTTGTTTACTTGACTATTAGATGGTGTAGTGAGAAACAATTACATTTCTTTTCTTATGTTTACTAAAATTAAGAATAGTAATGTTATGAATGTAATTATTAAAATGTTCTTTTACACAATTAAATAAACACGGTATGTATAATAATTTATTAATGATAAATAAATAAATTTAATATTCATTCTTTTTAATAAAAAAGTACAAAAATTGGCATTTTTTTATCATTTCTTATATTATGCGAAATCCATTAAGATATCGTTCATTTCACCGATTTGAGTTTTCAGTTTTAAGTTTCTACAGTAAAAAGCTCTCAGAAAATGTCACATTTAACTTTTTCTATTACAGTGAAAAACTTTCAGAAAATATTACATTTCAATTCGAATTAAAAACTCAAATCTGCGAAATGACCGAACCCTAAATCTCTATTATTAATTTTACCTTATTAACACGTCTTTAGATTGTTATGAAAGGACAAAATATTGAAGTTACACGCGTATATATATATATATATATATATATATATTGTTTGAAAATTGAAGATACGTATTTGACAAGTGTCGTTTTGACATTTTACATGGGCCCTTTACTTGGACGTCAGAACTCACTACTCAAGTTAGCTCACAAAAGTCGGAACCAAAACAGAACATATTCTCTCTCTCTCTCTCTCTCTCTCTCTCTCTCCCCTCTCTCTCTCTCTTCCTTCTCTCTCGCTGAGTGAGTACTGTCTCAGAGAAAAACCAAGTGGGCAAGTAAAAAAGGAAAAGGAGGAGGAGTTGGATATTAAGAGGTGAGAAATGAGCCTGGTTAGAACACAAGGAAGCTGTGTGGCGATCCGTACAATATCTCCATCTTCCTCCAACATTTCCCGTTGCAGCGGTCAGGACTCTGCTTCTTCAGGTTCTCACTCTTATCTCTGCCTTTCACCACCCAAATATACACACATACATACATACGTATATGTGTGTCTGTGTGTATTACTGTCTGTTTTTTTTTTTCACTTTTTGGTTAATTTCTCAAAGCTTGATGACTGATCTCGATCTGTTTCTATACCCACATGTTGATCTCATTGATTTCGTCTAAAATCGATGATAATTCAAGTCCCTTTTTTTTTTTTTTTTGGGCTGTTGTATTAAATCGTGTGTGTAAATATCTATATATAAGTACGTACGTATGTAATGAGTATTGGATAGTTTTGGCTTTTTTTTTTTAAAGATATTTGGTTTCGATAGAAATGGATAGATGAGTTTGGAGTTTGGATATTGCAATCTGGGGAGACCAGATATCAGTAGAGAGTGGCGGATTGGACGGGAGTTTGGTACAGTGTGTGCGTATGTAAAAACGATGCGTTTCAATCCATAATCACTAATCAGCGATCGTCCGTTTACTGGATTGCTTCCTCCCTCGCATTTAGGGTGGGACCCATCTCATGCGGACGGTCCGTCATGATTGGACCGGTCGTCCATTATAGGGTCAACCAAACCTTTTATATGAAATACCTGCGTGCTACAACCCAACAGTTCCATATTCATTGAATCACAATTTAAATTTTTATTATAGTGTGTATTTTTTGATAAAAATACGTAAATTTACTTTTTAATTTATGTTTAGTTTGAGAATTTAAACCATGATTTGAATCATGGTTCATGATTCGCTATAGTATTTTTTCTCACAAAAAATACACGTAAATAAAAAATGATTCTAATCACATGATTCTAATTCATAAACCGAATGTCTTCTTTCTAATTTGAATAAGCGAAATGAAGAAACAATCTTCAAGTAAACGTGTGTATTCCATTTATAGTTGCATATGACAAATGAAACTTGAAATATAATAGTTTTAAAAAAAAAAAAAAAATTACCGACACTTAAAGAAAAATATTTGGTCATTTATAAATTTTTAAACCCAATTTTTCGATTCTTCATGTCCTGCACCGTAATATTTAGAAATATAATTTGTAATATGACATGTATTCTATGTAGTAATAATATTCCATAAGTGTTCAACATCATTCTTATATAAAAGAAATATGATGCTACATCTCTAATTTTTATATATTACAGTTCCTTCACGAATCTTTTTTTTTTTCTTTTACTTTAATGCAAACATCAGAAGAAATAATTCGGTAACACAGTAGCAATGGCTTGTTTTTTTGGAAATATAGTAATACTCAGATACATGATGTGGTGTTTTAGAACAATGTAAGTATGTAACAAATAAAGTAAATAAAAAAAAAAAAAACCAGCAATTATTTCAGGGATTTTCCGACCAAATTGGATGAAATGCTCACATGGAACGGGAAGCCATATGTTCCACTCTTGGTCGGACGTGGTTCCGTGTTTCCATCCCAGCGCGTGCAAATCTCGATATATATGTATAATATAAATATTTGTGTATATTATTTTCTTTTATATAAATTTCTTCTATGTCATAATACACAGATATACATACATATATACGCATATATATTATGGGAATGGCTTCTTTTCGGTATATTTGTGTCGAGATATACACGACATTACATACGTTAAGTTGGAATATATTCAGTCTAATAGGACAGAATACACCACAACCACATGATAAAAACCATTTGATCGTGTCTCCTCGAAATCTCTAGAACGTGTCCATAATGTCATCCGGATAAAAAGAAACCGCTTTCCAAATAATTAGAGACATATATTGCGTTTCCATTTCAAATAATTTAGAGTCCTAACCTTTTTTTTTTTTTTTGTGGAAAAACGAGTTTTCTTTCTCTCTTTCTTTCTTTTTTCTTTTTGGACAAATAATAAATGGTTGAGGTGGTTGGTGTTTGTTGGATAGTATAAAGTTAGGTACACATTCTTTGATCTCTCTCTCTTTTTTTTTCTTTTTTTTTTCCCCTCAGCTGAGACATCATACTTCATGAATTTTCTTCTTTTTTTTTTGGTTGAATTTTATAACAATCCTACGCATGCAGATTATGTCTTATATATGTTAGGTATGGTTAAAACTTAAAAGCATGCAGTAATAACGTAAAATGGGTTTTGGTAATCAAAAATTTTTTTCTCCCCTTGTTCTGTTTTGAACGTATTGCTTTCTTTTGGTGTAAGATCGCGTAATATTGGACCTACAGTTGGCTAGCAGTAAAAACTATTTGTCTGTGAAACAGAAATCCACTGGAATTGCAGCAAAATCATTGGTCTAGCTCTTGTCACAGGTCGCTAAAGATTTTTCAGTCTGCTCAGTTTATTGGCAGCAAATTTTCAATACTTTAGTAGCTGAGACTTGAAATGAGATGCGCGCGCGCACACACACACATGTATATATATATATATATATATATATATATATATATATCTGTGCGTGTGTGTGTGTGTGTGTAGTACTTAAGAATTGTGCCGACTAATTTACTGAAATGGAAAGCTAAATTATGCAGATGACGCAATTTGTGTCACGCCTACATGGATTGGCAAGGGCCTCACTTGTGTTTGCTTCAAGCGAAAGGGACATTACGAACGGATATGCGTTAACTTGACACCCCAACAGGCAAGCAAACTAACCAAAACAAAACGTTGTATCATTGGTAATCAATGAAGTGCTTTGGTCTAGCTCTTGTCACAGGTCGCTAAAGATTTTTCAGTCTGCTCAGCTTATTGGCAGCAAATTTTCAATACTTTAGTAGCTGAGACTTGAAATATGATGCGCGCGCACACACACACACACACATGTGTGTATATATATATATATATATATATTATCTGTGTGTGTGTGTGTAGTACTTAAGAATTGTGCCGACTAATTTACTGAAATGGAAAGCTAAATTATGCAGATGACGCAATTTGTGTCACGCCTACATGGATTGGCAAGGGCCTCACTTGTGTTTGCTTCAAGCGAAAGGGACATTACGAACGGATATGCGTTAACTTGACACCCCAACAGGCAAGCAAACTAACCAAAACAAAACGTTGTAGCTCCAAGCTAGTTATCTAATTTCAAAGTTGCATGAGTTGCTTCTTCAGTAAATATGATGCCACGGCAAAAGGGTTCCTTACTAGAGCTATAGATTTTACCACTGATTGCGTATAGTGTGTGAAACATTTTCTAGCTAGCTTTAAAGCTTGTTATCACAAAAGTCGATGAGATTTTTTTTTTTGGAAAGAAAAATGTGGCAAATGAATAAGATGGATTTCCTACTTTTGTGATTCATGGTTCTTGCCATGCTTTATGATGCTTCCCATGTTTTCCCATGTTGAATTGTTCGATATATAACTCAGCAGGAAGAAAGACTGAAACGGCTTAAGCACCGAATGAAGGTCTACTTTGATGCTTCAAGACCAGATCACCAGGTGTATTTTCATGCTCTTGAATTTGATTGTGCTATTACATCTCGGAACTTTCTAATTCAAGTCACATCCATTCGAGACAATAACTTAAAGACTCAAAACAAAAGGGTCTTCTAACATGACCCGTTGGACTAAAGCCGAAATGCTATAAGGCGACATTTCAATTTTTTTTTTTTTTTTTTCAATGTGTATTCTACGTGATTTGGTTTTAATTTTGTACTAAGAAAATTCCATGAGAACAGGAAGCACTGAGGGCTCTATGGTCAGCTACCTACCCTAATCAGGAGCTTCACGGCTTGATATCTGATCAATGGAAGGAAATGGGATGGCAGGGAAGAGATCCATCTACAGATTTCAGGTTAAAATTTGCTTCTCTTCTCTTCAGCGGCTTACTGGTTTCTTCATTAAATTTTGCGGTCGTCATTCTCTAGCTCAGTTTTCCTTAATGCTTTACTTGAACAGAGGAGCTGGATTCATTTCCTTGGAGAATCTGCTGTTCTTCGCGAAAACATTTTCAGTAAGTAATAATCTCAATTCCAAAAAAAAAAATAATAATAATAGAAGTATGAAAGTAACATTCACGATATTTTCTTTAAGCCTGCAATTTTCAATTTTGTTAAAAGGAAAGAACTACATTATTTTGCACATTATACTTAGATTAAGTGGATCGTATTTACTTTTTTTCGCAACGTACTGGCGCAGACGTCTTTTCAGCGTCTATTGAAGAAGCAAGGCGGAAAGCGAGCTGCTTGGGAATATCCATTTGCTGTTGCTGGTGTCAATATCACCTTTATGATAATGCAAATGCTTGACCTTGACGCCTGTATGTGTAAACGAGCTATAATTTTCATCACAAGTTGAATAATTAACACATCATCTATACTCATATCATTTAGTTTGAGAGCTTCTCATAAGAGACCAATATTACTACTAATTTTACTGGCATGAGACTTTCATAATTCTTTTTTCTTGTGCTAAATTTTTCCTTATGAGCGAAACTTCTTCATTTGCAGTAAAACCAAGGACTTTTGTCAGAGCAGTTTTCTTACAGATTTTGTCTGGTAAGAGCCTGAAATTGCATCCTAGTTATTGTTAACATTAGTAGCGACTTTTCTTTCCTTTTCTTTTCTTTTTTTTTTTTTTTTTCCTTTCATGTTCACATTGTGATTCTAAAATGCGTTTTTCAGAAAATGAGTGGGCCTTTGACTTGCTTTATTGTGTGGCTTTTGTGGTTATGGACAAGCAATGGCTTGAGAGAAATGCTACATACATGGAGTTCAATGTGAGAATCCTTGTTGTTATGCAAATTCATGCTTTATGAAAATTATATCAATGGGAATTTAGCCAATTTATGGTTGGTTTGATGTTGCTTTTAGACGCTCCAAAAGTCTTTTATACATACCAAACGATTTGAATTCTATTTCCTGCTTCTTACGGTAACCTCAAAATATTATGACTAGAGGGGAAAATTATTTTCTCAAGTTGAGTCTTTGAATCTGTACATATTATTACAGGACGTTTTGAAATCTACTCGAGCGCAACTGGAGAGGGAACTCTTGATGGACGACGTCCTTCGGATCGAAGACATGCCGTCTTACAGCCTTCTTTCTTGAATGGCAAGCAACAAATTAGCCGGGTCAAGAACTACGGTTTTTATTTATTTGATATCTACGGCCATATGACCCTAAAATTGTACAATCTCTCACATCTCTATCTTCTGTATGACACGTGGCATCTTCCAGTTGGTTGATTCTACCACTCCAACCTTAACCTATGACTCCTCAAATTGCTCCAATTTAAAATCTTACAGGGTGGACTAGAAAAAAGGGTCCTCACATCCGTTGGTCAAAATTGTGTATATTTGAGGATTGCCAGATTTTGTTTTGAAGAGTTTGAGGACAGGAAAATCAGTTGCTATCTTTTTAACATTTTCAAATTGTAAGGAGATTTGGATAAAAAAAAATAGCAAAATGTTAGTCTAGCATAAAAGTTTGGATTCTCAGGTTGGAATATCTAATAAGTTATTGATGGTGCACTGCTTATTTCAAAAGCGTTCATATAAACTTTTTTGCCGGTCATAAGGAGCCCCAGGATACGTGTTCAATTGCAAAATTATGTGTTTCATTGTTTTCTCTATAACAACCGCAAGCATATGAGAGATAGTACTAAGAAAGTCACTCTAGTGTGGTCAGTTTATTTGGCACGAGTACAACTTGAAATGAAAAATAATTGGACTGTTTCATTCTAGAGAGAGAGAGAGAGAGAGAGAATGGAATACATGAAAAGTAGCTTAACCACAAGCAAACATCAGAAGCGTAAATACGGGACAAAGATTGAAAAAAAAATTTGGACCATTTCTCGATTTGTGCGTGTCATCCTTGCGCAGGGGCCATGCTAATCTTCTCTGTATCGTTCCAATTTTATCGGATGTCCCCGAAGGGACAGCTGTCATTCTCGTTGTCTTTGTTTATACAGCACTGTAACCCTTCATAAACCTTCGATGTGGGACACTTTCCTTCGGCCTAAATGACGCATTTCTCTGAGTCGCCAAAAGCACGCTGCGTGTAGCCAAACTTTCGTTGGGGCCCAAGATTTGCTTGGAATGCGTAACAAGCATGAATACATGGGCTCCGGCCCATCGATTAACAGCCCATAAAATCCAACCTTTGCCCTTTTTATTATTATTATTTTCTTTTTTCTTTCTGAATTGTACGTTTGAGAGTTAAACTCAAACAAAAGGAGATACAAGAAAAGGATGTTGGACCCTCTCGATCTTTTTCCTTTCTGGCTATCATCTTATTTTACAAGTTAAACCGTGCTTCTTGAGTGTAGAAAATGGCTAAAATGTAGCTCTCATTACAACTCCACATGTCAGTGACTCAATAATGCTGCAGCTTTGCAGATGGAGCGAGAATAAACACTTCCATTCAGTGATGACATATATTTCACTGCATCAATAACATGTGTTCCAGAAGAGGTTGCTATTTTCATTTTAAAAAAAATAAAAAAGTTGCTAAATCTACCGTACATGTTACAATACCTCCTGCATATATACTTTGTTTTAGATATTTTACCTCCTACATAGTATGTGTCCTGAGACATGCGAAAAAATAAATAAATTAATCACCCAAATATTATTCAATTGGTGGCCCAAATTCTTGCATTGCAATTTTAGTTCTCTGAAATGAAAAATGGTAGAAAGCTATTATCTGAATCCTTTTTTTATTTTTTAATATTTGTTGGAAAGCTCTTTGAAATATGTTTCATTTTCAACTCTTTTCATCCTACCATTAGGTTCCCTGAGACTCTCTTTTATCTCCACCAGTCCCCACATCCAATTCTTCATGTGGAAGAGTCAAGACTTTAGTTGCTCAATTCTACCATAATTATATATTGGAAAGGCGAACAAAGTATGTTGCTTTATTGCTAATATACAGATTAAGCCCTTTATCCCGTCATAATGATGTCTACGAAATTTGGATCTTGAAACTAATATGAATTTATTCATAAAAAGTTTTTCTTATCTATCTAGAAAGAAAAGTACCACCTGCTACTTTTTGTCTAGATATAAAGTAAAATAAAATATTAGAAAATGTTTTTAAGTCCGGTAACCGGATCAATCCGCTAAATATAACTTTTTTTCATACTGGTGTGAAACATCGTTCTTTTGTATGTGTAACACTCTACATTTTGAACTTCAAATTTTATGTGAAAATTTTACACTGTAATAAAATAAATAATTTGAGTTTGAATATATAAAATAAACGACCCCTGAGTATTACATTTAAATATACCGAATGTTACACACATTTATAAATAATGTTACACAGGAATACAAAAAAATTACATTTAATGAACCCGTATGGTTACTAGATTTAAGACTTTACCTAAAATATTAATAAAAACTATTTGTAGTTATTGACAAGCTAATCACAATAATTTATGGGGTAATCAATTTTAGCTAATAACCTCATAATTGGTCAGTGATCATCATCAGATCAGATGGTCCTGATTCTCCTGCAGAAGCAGTGGCCCATCGTTGAGTCTGTTCATCAAATTTTAGTTTACAGGTAAATCAACCATGAAAAGCAAATGTCTACATTCTAAATTGAACTCAGAACTTCTTCACCAAAGCCATATATTTGCTTAAAACTTACGTTGTACTGAGTCTAGTCAGTAAGGTGCAAAGTGGTAAAACAAATTTATGAATGTGAGATCCTAACTTAATGAGTTGGGATATAGTTCCATATTAGCACATGCTTTCATGCTTTCATCCTTGTCAGTTCAAATGTTTAGTAGAGGGAAAGGCAAAAAAGCTGCAAATGCATACCGGGGTGATTCTTGAACCCAAAGCTTAAAATTACCTACCATTACCATCCTTGTCTTTTAAGCAAAACTTACACCCAAAGCTCCACTACATCTCTCTCCCTTACACCCTTTTCTCTGCCCCTCCTTCCTTAGTTGCCAATCAAGGAACTTCACCCTACAGGCCACAACCTTTTTTTTTTTTTTTTTGTGCCAAAAAAAAAAAAGAAAAAAAAATCTCTGAGATCTGCACATAAAAAACCCGCATACCATGAGTTCATTTCAAACGTCAATAGGAACACGAAGTTCCACAATGATAGAAACTTCATGTGGATACCTACTTCAAGAATTGCAGGCAAGAGCTTCATTCAATTACTAGACCGAAAATTGGCTTATTCTATGATTCTCAATCTGATTTCTATCTTTCCTTTGAATGAAATTTGACAGATGATCTGGAATGAAGTAGGAGAGGATAAGTTTGAAAGGGAGAAGGTTCTACTAGATTTGGAACAAGAGTGTGTAGAGGTCTACAGGAAAAAAGTTGATGCAGCAAATACGTCAAGAGCTCGCCTGCATCAGGAATTGGCAGAAGCTGAGGCTGAACTCACCCATCTTCTTTTGTCACTTGGTGAACGATCATTCCCCGCACGGGTATCTCATCAAAATATCCCTATGAAGTGCCAAGTTAGCTAATTATTATATAGTGCATGTCAATGTAGCATAGTAGTACATAAAGTGAAACAGTATTTAGGATCCGAATTCAGCAATCTAGAACCATTAGACAGAATCTTATCATGGGAAATCCAATAACTTGGTTCTTCTCTCTCTGTCTTATTAGCCAGAGAAAATGACGGGAACACTGAAGGAGCAACTAGACTCAATCACACCAGCGTTGCGGGAGATGCGGTTGAAGAAAGAAGAGAGGGTCAACCAGTTTCGAGCCGTGCAAAGCCAAATTCAGAAAATTGCTGCAGAAATAGCAGGTCGACCAGAGGTTAATGACTCATCACTAAATCTCAAAATGAATGAAAACGATCTTTCGTTGAAGAAACTTGAGGAGTATCAAACTGAGCTACAGAGACTCCATAACGAGAAGGTGCGTATAAACTGTGGCTTAGAAATTATTTTATGGACGAAATAAACAGTCTTTTGGTAAATCAATGAGTTTTAATCCGTTGTACCTTTAAAATTGCTTGCTCCGAAGAATGAGAGGCTCCAGAGAGTGGAAAAGTATATAGATGTGGTCCACAAGCTGTCTACGATATTGGGACTGGATTCCACTAACATCATCTCCGACGTTCACCCAAGTTTAAATGACCTTTGCGGGATTTCAAAAAACATAAGCAACAGTGTCTTGGCTACACTCAACAGCACGGTGGAATCACTTGAGGAGGAAAAGCAAAAGCGGCTTGAGAAGGTGAGAATAATCTATGCTGTTGAATTTTTCTTCATTCATGCAGAGGTAATTAGTGGCACCTGTGTTGCAGCCAAACATATGTAAATTGGCTACTATTTCTCATTGAAAATAGTGATAAGAGAACCGAAAAAACCAAGCCGTAGCGAGCAAATATAAATGCAAGAATTGGCAAGATAAATACTTCAGCAACTTGTTCTTCTTCTTTTCCTTTCCTTTCTTTTCTTTCATGATAAATAATGAACTGTCATGTTATATTTCTGCATATTCTTAATACAGCTTCACCAGCTCGGTAAAGCATTAACAAACTTGTGGAATCTAATGGATACACCATTTCAAGAACGTCGACTGTTTTCCCATGTTATTCGGTTGTTGTCAGTCTCATCAACAGAGATATCAGATCCAGGAAGCCTTACCCAAAATATACTCCTACAGGTAAGTACCAACTAATATTCACCATGCATCAAGAGTATTAGAATAAATCAGGAAATAACAATATTCAAACAAATTTTGAAGGCTGAGGCTGAAGTGAAGAGACTGGATCAGTTAAAAGCAAGCAAGATGAAGGAACTATTCCTCAAGAAACAGAAGGAGCTTGAGGAGATATGTCATAGGTCGCACATGGAGATTCCTTCCCGAGCAGAAATGGATAACATAATCAACCTCATTAGCTCTGGTGGGTCTATTTTTAAATATCCATTTTCTCAGAAGGATTTGTTGCTCTTTTTCACATATTTAAGTAGCCCAGAAACTGACTTGCGTGTATAAAAGGGGAGATTGACCATGCCGATCTCCTCATTAGTATGGATGAACAGATATCAAAAGCGAAAGAAGAAGCTTACAGCAGAAAGGCTATAATGGAGAAGGCAGAGAAGTGGATGCTTGCATGTGATGAAGAGCATTGGTTGGAAGAGTATAGCATGGTTTGTTTCTTCCTCCATCCAGCCCATATGAAGTTGAATCATACAAGTGTATTACACATACATGTGTAACTACCTGTAAACGTACATGACATAGCTGTCACATTATCTGATCTCAATCTACTTTCAGGATGAAAATCGATACTCGGTCAGCAGAGGTGGTCATAGAAACCTGAGACGAGCAGAACGTGCTAGAATAACTGTCAACAAAATCCCAGGTAAGAATAAACAAAGTTTCTGAACATGTTCAAATCTACCAGTTGAAGTTAAAATCATGTAGTTGTATGATGAAGATGATTATGCTTCTTCAACAATGCTTTGAATTGCAGCCCTAGTGGAGTCGCTAATAGAAAAGACTAACAGTTGGGAAGAAGAAAGAAGGAAGGTTTTCCTGTATGATGAGGTATGATATACTTCCTTTTAAAATATTTAGACAATATTATTTCATTTAATTAGGTTACGCTTATTTGCTTAAACCATTGACTTAAAAAATAAGACCAACTTAACTTTAGTAAATCCAGAGAGGGCAAAAGTTTAAATACAACAGAAACTTCACATCAGAGAGAAATCTAGCCATACGACTGAATTCTTTATAGAACTTAGACTAAAGACTAAGCTTTGTTTCTCAGGAAGGTTTTCTCAAGGCTAAAAAACCTGTCTTTTCCTTACTATTTGTTGCCAGCAACATATCAGCTACATAGAAAAATTAGACAGATCAGTATACAATGTATAAAAACAAAATTGCTAGATTTCCAATATCAGAAGCTGTTTTCAACTCTGTAAATTAGCCCAATGTGCGAACGAGGGTTTCTGATGCCAATGGCTCAATCGAAAGCTGATAGTACATTGCCTTAATAGTTAGTTAAAAGATGCCAATTATCCTGAACTTCTGTTCTCACATATAATTGGCTATGTGCAAATACATAACACAGACCATAAAAGACTGTATTTCCACTTGTGCAGGTACCTCTCCTAGCAATGTTGGAAGAATATAATGTATTTAGGCAGGAAAAGGAGGATGAGAAGCAGAGACAAAGGGTAGGTTCTGTTCATAAGCATCCATTGGAAGATTAATCTGACCACTCAAAACATGCTAATATTATGATTTTCTTGTCAATTGTACTTGACGTCCTGTTTGCATATAGTTATAACCACTAGCTCCATGAGGCATTTTGTTTTATGAGTTCATCACAGGAAAAGAAGAAGGTTCAAAACCAAGGAGTCGTTCAGCAAGAATATCCATTTGGGACGAGGCCAGGCACAAGTAGTCGGCGACTTTCAGATAGGAGTCTGAATGGAGGTTTCACAAACACCATACCTTTAAATAGAAGGACCTCTCTTGGTATCCAGCAATTCGGATCAAACACCATCAATACAGCCGCTCAAGGCATATCCTTCATGAAGGAAGGAAAGAAAGCACAAGGACATAAGTTGTTTTTACGGCCTGGCCTTGTTTCTAACTTTAGAGATGAAACAGCTTCCGTGGTATCAACATTTTCGGGCCCATTTTCTCCTTGATTAACGAGTCTCTTTTCCAAGCTTCGTTTTCTACAAGAGTGCATCATTTCATAGAGAGCCATTTTACTTAACTTACCCCAGTACCAGCAGAGATGCCGGAGCTAGAAGACGATGGTTGAATAAGATTTAGGATTGTTGGATTTTCTCTACCGTAGGTTCATGCTAAAGTGTGCAGTTACAAGTTCAAAACTAAATAAATTTTGTACAAAATAATTATCTCCAAGCTTGAGCTCAAATCATGAATTGAATAATATGAGATTGCCATGCACATAGAAAGCATAATTGTCTTAACTATAACTACCTTCTACAACACATAAAGCTTTGCCTAGTGTATTCAATTCAAACAACAAGATATATCTACAAATAAGAAAGCCCCGGAGATGTTTAGCATATATAAAAGTTACAGAAAAGGTTGTTTGGTGATTTTGACTATAACTACCTTCTACAACACATAAAGCTTTGCCTAGTGTATTCAATTCAAACAACAAGATATATCTACAAATAAGGAAGCCCCGAGATGTTTAGCATATATAAAAGTTACAGAAAAGGTTGTTTGGTGATTTTTACCGTATTTTGCTACCAGAACTGAACTTGCAAAGTATCTTCAAACTGTCCCACCAGCGAATGTCTCTACTTGCTTCTTCAACACCACAAGGAAATAAGGAAATTAGTACAGTAATGTAACCAGTAAATGAAAGGCAAAAGCAAATTAGGAACTACCTCTTTCCCATGGCTAAGTACCTTGCCTTTTCATGAATAAAAAAAAA